GCATGTAATATATTATTATTTAATACATTTAATAATAATAATAATTTAATATGTTATTATTTAATATTATTATTTATTCAATATATTATTAATTTTAATATTATTACATGTTTTCAAAAATTAAACCACCAAATGCAGTTTTAATTTTTTTTTAAAACTGAAATCAATCTCTCAATAAAACTGCCAAACGCATTTCAGAAATAATTCCAAAATGAAAAGGAAAACGTTTTCATTTCTATTTTCATACAGAAAATAAAATTATTTTGGAACCAATTCCAAACGCACCCTTTATTTTTTTATTTTTTATTTTAAGGTTGGAACACAAGTTGGGGTTCAAAAGGAGTAAACAATGAGTTTTAAATAGAAAAGAAACGTTTTGATATATAACTATATCAAAAGAGGCATATATTGGTCATTTGTGGTCGTAAAAAAAGCACCATATTAGTGTTTTTTTTTTCTTTTCTTTTTGCCTTTTTTGTTATTTAATTCACCTTTTCCATTTTTTTTTTCTTTCTAGAGTTTATACAGTAGTTCGCTTTGCTGGTAGTCATAATTTTTTTTATTATTGAATCTGTTTAAAATCACATCAAATTATTAAAGTATATAAAACAGACAAATTCTAATACAAATTTAATCGTTGAAAAGTAAAGGACTACTAAAAAAAGTCTCATTCTTCTTTTTTATTAGTTTTTAACTAACCATTTGTCCTATTAAAAGACATGCAAGTCTCACCTTTTTATTGTTTTTTATGTATATTTACTGGGACTTTCTTTGATAGTCCGTGTAAAAATGGAATCAATAGCCTTTTTATAACCGTCAAATCTATATTAGAATTTATCTGTTCCACATACTTTTTAATTTGATGTGATTTTAATTAGATTTAACAATTAAAAATTGAAACTACTGATATGACGGACTACTGAGAAACTCTCATATTTACTAGGATGCATTTTATCACCCTTTTTATTGTTTAAGCTATTTTCTCCTTTTTTTTTTTGTTATTGTTTATCTTTTAAGCACAAATCTCTTCATAACTATTGTTTCTTTTGATTTTATGATATTATTTATCTTTGTTACGTATTAATGCAATTGTGTAAGTGAGATTTTAAAAATATTAATTAAATTATTTTAATTACTTTTTAAATACATTATTTATACAATAATATAGATCTTTTTTTTCATAAAAAATATAGTTATTTTTTCTTTCTTTTTGGCTATTTTTTATTACTTTGTAGGTGAATATAGAGAATACCTATGTCCTAATCCTAAATCCTAATCTTAACCCTAAATCATAAATTCCAATACTAAATATATATAATTAAAAGAGCCATATCGAAAGATAAATATATGAAAGTGAAAATTACAGTGACTTTTAGGTGTTTTAGTTTTTCTTTTCCTTTTATTTCTAACTTTCAACTCTTTTATTTTTTTTATTTTATTCTCTCATAATTCATTTTATTAAAGTCCAAAATGATGATTTTTAAGTGCTTAACTTTTTTTTTCTTTTTTCTTTTCTCTTCAAGTTTCAACTTCCTTATTTTTTAATTTTATTATCTTATAATTTAACATCTTTTATGCGTTTCGTGTTTAAATTCAACTTTTTAACTTAAACTACTATTAAAGTCTTTTTTTTTTTTTGAAATTAGGTGTGGAGATTCAAATTCTATGTCTTGCGGTTGTAATCTACTGTGCAATTACTATTAGGATATGCATCCTACCCTTAAATTTTGTTTTTTTTTTAATAAATAAGAATTTATATATATATTTGTGGATTGTGATTAATATCCACCGCAAACATGAAAGAAAAATAAAATAAGAATGGATTATCCTAATAGCATAAATTGAACTGTTTGACATTACGTTTCTTAATTTTTTATTTAAACAATTGAAAACCAATTATACGACACGGATGTTTTCAAAATAATAATAATGATAAAATATAATAATAATAATAATAATAATAATATAATAAGCTGAATAAGATGAAAGATTGTGAAACAGCAAAGGGGTTTTATAGATAAGAATAGATATCCTCCTTGACCCAAAAAGTTAAATATAAAATGTCTTCCGAAAGTGTTTAATAATTATAGAAATAAAATTGAAGAAAATTATGATTTTTTATGTTTTGTCGAACTATACATTTATGTATGTCATGACAAGGTTGTGAAGAATGATAAAGCTAGCTTCATTGTCATATTAGATGGAAAATTTCATCCCAAAATCTCTCACATGAAAGCTTTTGGTCTGAAGGCAAATGTCAAACTCCCACCGTAACGTGACATTCCCATTTTTGGTTTTTGTTTTCTTTCTTTATTTTCAACCCCATGATAGATAAAGTATCGCTACATGTTTTTTTTTTTTTTTTTTTTTTTTTTTTTTTTTTTTTTTTCCTTAGTTGTATAATGTTATGAACAAACTCAAGTGTTGAGAAGTCTATTTACAGCTTTAAGTACGCTCGTTATTAATGTGTCGAGATTTTCTCTCATTTTTTGATCTCAGACGTGCGTCTGTCCCTGACGAGTTATTAACATTGTATATTTCTCAATTTTTGTTTGATTATAATTTCCCTTAGAAAAATGTAGTTAAAATACAAATATAATGGTTTTAATTTAAATCCAACGATAGAAATGTAATAACTACATATAAAATGTATATATTTTTTCTATAATCTTATCACATAATAAATTCTAAAAAGCATTGAACATTTTTAATCATATGTTTTTTTTAATGGAATTATCCATGATGAGATACTGCTACTAATATTACGGACCCGTTTAGTTCGCTTATTCGAGTTTTTAATTCGAGTTAAAATGTGATTTTATGTGATAGATTTTTACTGTAGTAAAAAAGTTAGATGTGATTGTTTCTGAGAACTTTTTACTATAGCAAAAATAGAATTCTAAACTCGAATCAGTAAAATAAACGGAGCTTACATGTTTCTGAATGTCTTAATCTAATTAACAGATTAGTATCTGTTGCCCGCAGTGCATTTTTTGTTAGCATTTTGAACCTGAACAATCATAAATCATTGAAAATTTTAATCTTAACAGCTAAAACAAACAATAATTTCTACCAATAATAAAAAAAAAGACGGTCTCAACCCTAATTATCTGAAAATTTTCAAAAACACTTCCAATTTATTGTTTTTTTTTTTGAAAAAATTAAAATTTTAAATAATGCATATGCCGATCACGTGGTTGGCACGTGGGAGCACAGGAGCGATGAGGGTAGGGGAGAAAAAAGGGAAAGCAAAGGGCATATCCTGAGGACCAAAGGAAAGAGATAAATAAAGATGCTCAGAGAACAACGAAACCAGGTACTGCCACGTGTCACACTACCTGGCATACAGGCATCGCATCTTGGAATGGAACCACGCCAGCGGGCGACCCCAAGGGCTAGAGAGAGAAAGAAGAGAGAGAAAACAAAACAAAACTCAAAACAGACTTGGAGAAGGAGAAGGAAAACAAGGGAGAGAAACTATAGAGAGAGAAACCGAACTATAAAAAAAAAAAAAACAAACTATAAATTCCACTCTTACGCCTCTTATGGCGGTCCTCTCGATTCACCACCACCATTAACGACTTCTTCTTATTCTTCTTCTAATCCTTAGTCTCTCCAGTGACTGCTGACAATATTTTTTTTCCGTCTTATTTTGGTGTTGGGTATCGAGTTTCAGCATCTGGGTATTGCCCAATTCTTCAAATCATAACAGGTATCTAGTAAAATTTTTTCGCTTCTCAGATACTTGACGCTTTTCCATATATATATATATATACATAAATATATATTAATTTCGTGTTCTGGGGCTCTCTGTGGTTTGGTTTCTGCAATCCGATTTGATCTCTAAATTTCCGTAAATGCGGAAACTTTTGATGGTGAATTTTGCAATTCTAGATATTGAGTCCGAACCCGAATTTTCCCCCAAAATTGTGCAGTTTTATTACCACAATAGCGTCTGAATGATACTAATGTGTAACAAAGGTATTGCTGATAACTCAATTGATCAGCAACGCCGTCACCAGTCCTTGTTCTTGATGGATGGGCATAATAACAACCACCATTCTAGTACAACAAACCTGATTTCGATACCGGGTTCGAACGACGAAACCCCGAGGGTTAAATTCCTGTGTAGCTTTCTGGGCAGCATATTGCCCCGCCCGCAGGACGGGAAGCTCCGGTACGTGGGTGGGGAGACGCGGATTGTGAGCGTCCCGCGGGATATTAGTTATGAGGATTTGATGGGGAAGATGAGGGAGCTTTACGAGGGCGTGGCCGTGTTGAAGTACCAGCAACCGGACGAGGATCTCGACGCCCTCGTATCGGTTGTGAATGATGATGATGTGACTAACATGATGGAGGAGTATGATAAGTTGGGGTCCGGGGATGGTTTCACTAGGCTGAGGATTTTTCTGTTTTCGCACCCGGAGCAAGATAGTTCTCCGTCGCACTATGACGGCATTGGCGTTGGCATTGGCATTGGCGATGAGAGGGATACCGAGAGGCGGTATGTGGATGCCTTGAACAATTTGAATGATGGACCTGACTTTAGGAAGCAGTTGCAGCCTGAATCCCCGGTGATGAGCCCGGTCGAGGACATACATGTCGCGGAGCAGTATTTTAACTCGTTGAGTCTCGAGGGCAGCGTTCATAACCAGAGGAATTATGAGATTTCGACGATTCCGCAGTATAATTTGCATCATCTTTCGATTCCGCATATGGGGTCGGGCCAACACCATCAGCCGATGAGCCAGAGGTATAGTGAGATGGAACCTCCTTGGAGCCCTGCCTTCTATTCCCCGAGGCATCACGGGCACGAACCGAGGCCAATGACAGAGTTTCCTTCTTCTCCGTCGTCTGCAAGATTTCATGTGCCGTTTGCTGAGTTGGTACCGGATAAATGCTTGGATAGAATGCCTGACGAATATCCTCGGCAGCAAGTGAATCAACAGCAGCCTGCATTTGAGCACCAACATCAGTATTCAGAGAATGTTGCGTGGCTGCCAACCGGAGCTTTGTCTGCTGAAAAATCGGGTTTTCCTGGAAATCTTTTTCATGGGCCGAATGTTGCTGAAGGAAGTAGTATCTGCGAGCATTGCCGGATGGCTTTCCAGAGAAATTTCAAGCATCCGAACGTGGGAAATGGACTTCACCAAGTGCCTAATCCGTGCGTTGATTGCCCACCAAACAGGGAGATATTGAATCATGGAATTTATGCGAACGAGCAGATCAACGATCACCGACCTTTATACAGCGACACTCAAAATCATGAAAGAGGATGGATTTTGCAGCAACAGTTTAATGCCCGGGCTGATGAAGCAAGATCAAATGTCTCTGGCTCTGTGAGAACCAATGACCACTATCCTGTGGATGGTCTTGGCATCAATTTGCCTCTTGCTCACGGTAGTATCGCAGAAGGCCGTCCCGTGTCCTCAAACTACGTTCAGCACCAAGCAGGACACGAATTGGGGAATGAAGTTTTCCATGACCAAACCGTGGCTGGTGCACCGCAGATACACGTTCCTTCACCCGAAGAAAGCGGTGTTCGATATGGAAACATTCCTTTTGTCCATGGAGGAGAATCTCTTTACCCAAGTCATGGACATTTGCCTGGACATGCTTTATGGAGAAATGTTCATAACCCAGGACATGTTGGTCAATCTTATGAAGCATGTAATTCGATGCCGCCAGTCAATGGCAAAGTTAGTCCAGGATTCCCAAGAGGCCAATGGGAAGGAAGTCCTAGGTTTTGTATTGGAATGGAAAATCAGAATCCCTGGGCTGAATCCTCTAAAATGATGGCTTTTGATGGCAAAGCTGTTCCAGAATATGCCTACGGTCATGATTCGAGACTAAATCCTACAGCACTTGGTCAGGAAAATCAACATCCGTTTTGCCTGGATCCTGTACGAGTTTCACTCGACATGACAAACATTGTTAATCCCGCTGAACCTGCTAAAGAAGCTGTGAGGTTGGATGGGAAAAACATGCCTGAAGAAGAGAAAGAAGAAATTCATGTGGAAAAGGCCGAGAACTCTGATGTGCAGGATATTTCTTATTCAGAGGTAAAAAAGGTCGGTGACAATAATCGCGAGGTTGCATCTCTTGAGACAGTAAATTCAAATTGCGTAAAGCCAGCAGAAGAGAATGTGGATGTTGCCAAGCAAGGGGAAAAGGATTCTGCTCTTGAAGATTTGAAGCCTTCGGTTGAGCAGCTGAGTTTCTTACCTGATTTGGTTGCATCTGCAAAGAAAGCGGCATTAGATGGGGTGAATGACGTGAAAGCAAAAGTTGCAGAAAATACAGATGCTGAGAAGATCGGTTCATTAACCAAAGAAGTGCCATCTAATGAGTTAGATTCAGCGGTGAGGACTAAACAAATTATCGAAGCTTATTGATTGTCTTATGACTATTTATTTCCTCATCAATTTCTATTTTTGTTTTGTAAAATGATTCCCAACTCGTTTCCTCTTCTAATGTGAAATCTTATTTTGTTTAGCAGAATGCTCCAGTTGATTCAGAATTGGATTCTGATACTGATAATATAAACAACTCTAGAATCGAGCCAACAACAGCTGAGGCGGAAGCCATTGCCAAGGGATTGCAGGTTCGCGTCGCTGTCTTCTTCATGTCACTGGAGTTTTCTGTTATTTGGACATTCTTTTTATGTGGGTTGTACTTATTTCTAATAGTTCTGTTGTTCTTTGTTTAGACGATAAAAAACGACGATTTGGAGGAGATCCGGGAATTAGGCTCTGGAACATATGGAGCTGTTTATCATGGGAAGTGGAGGGGTTCTGATGTAGCAATAAAAAGAATAAAAGCCAGCTGTTTCGCTGGGAGACCATCCGAAAGAGAACGCCTGGTACTGCATATATCTGAAGACTCTTTTCTGTTTAGTGGCGCTGTTTCAATAAATACATACTATTTATTTTAAACAAGAACTTTTAAATACATACTATTTATTTTAAACAAGAACTTTTTTACCTAGTATACCGGTACTGTGTATAGTGGACTCAGCAAGTGCGATTTTGATTTAATCAATCTATATTCACGTTACAGATTGCTGATTTTTGGAAGGAAGCTTTGATATTGAGCTCATTACATCATCCAAATGTTGTTTCTTTTTATGGCATTGTCCGTGATGGTCCTGATGGTTCTTTGGCGACTGTAACGGAGTTCATGGTTAATGGATCTTTGAAACAATTTTTGCAGAAAAAGGACAGGTATCATGATGGCATAAGATTATGAAATTACAGTAAAATAGTAGCTGTTTTCTGTTTAGAGTTTTAAAGATTGGAATGCTTCTGATGTCATTATGTCATTGAAACAGAACAATTGATCGTCGTAAAAGACTCATCATAGCTATGGATGCTGCATTTGGAATGGAGTATTTGCACGGGAAGAACATTGTCCATTTTGATTTGAAATGTGAAAATCTTTTGGTAAACATGAGAGATCCCCAGCGGCCCATTTGCAAGGTATGCTGAGTTGAAATGTATTGATGGAGACAGATAAACTGATATTTTTTATTTTTTATTTTTATTTTTTTTTTGGGCTTAAGTAGTATGTAGTATGAATTGGAAAATTGGGAGAGATTTAAACTCTTGATGGTCACTTTGTGATATGATCTTATCACTCTATTTCCAGCGTTTTCTGTTACAACTGTTTTTATTTAAGTATGACATAATAGAATAGGAAAAACTGATTAAAGTGTGGCAAGTTATCGTGAGAATATTACATGATATCTTTCATTTTTTGTATTAGATTGGAGACTTGGGCTTATCGAAGGTAAAACAGCACACCTTGGTGTCGGGAGGTGTTCGTGGAACTTTACCCTGGATGGCACCCGAGCTTCTTAGTGGGAAAAGTAACATGGTTACAGAGAAGGTATTTTTTTTTATTTTTTATTTTTTTGACATGCCATAATATTGGATTTTTCAGCTTCAATGGTGTACAGCTCTTATAACTTGTGAATGTTTTGATTAGTTTCGACTTTTGTGGTCAGCATTGCTGAGTTATCTGATATATTATTACTCCCCATAATGCAGATTGATGTTTACTCATTTGGCATTGTGATGTGGGAAGTGCTCACGGGTGAAGAACCTTATGCAGATATGCATTGTGCGTCTATAATTGGTAAGCACCAAATGCTTACTGTCCTCTTGTATTTTTCCCTTGATTACTTTTCACTGCTAATTTTGACTATTGCTTCTCGATAGTACCATCTTTATTTGATAAACAATTTCCGCTGGTGTTAGTGGTATTACTTGTACTACATAGTCGTTACATTTGGCGTGCGTTTACAAAGTATTTATAGATTGCTTGCACATTTCACTTCTGAATCATTAGTATCGCGAACTGAAAACTCTTGGTGTCTTCTCTTGGAAAGGAGATCGATACTGCATGCCGGGGAAGTTCTTATTCTTTTTTTCAAACTCCGTATTAAGTTTAACTGCACTGATTCTGTTGAACTTTACTTGTTCTTCCAAGTTCTAGTTTTAATCTGCAACATTGATTAAATAGTGATGTCTCGTTGCTTTTATTGGGAAGAGAAATGTTATATGAAGTGATGGAACAAGTTGTCAGCATTCTTATTACGTATGACTTGATTAAGAACACGTGTTTTGAACGTTTTGCTCACTTGTCAATGGCCATATATAATCTTCTATCGAGAAGTGAGCAACCGCCATATATAATCTTCTATGGAGAACCAAAAAAAACTACGTCTATGCTGTATGATAATATGCTATTTATTATCTGGGTGGTGTTTTTTTTTTTTTTTTGGCTCAAATGAAATATTATCCATCTGCAGGAGGAATCGTGAATAACACATTACGTCCTCAAATTCCAACATGGTGCGATCCCGAATGGAAGTCTTTGATGGAAAGTTGTTGGGCCTCCGATCCTGCGCAGAGGCCGTCGTTTTCAGAAATCTCTCAGAAGCTGAGGAATATGGCTGCTGCTATGAACGTTAAATAATTCTCCAGCCTTGACGCAGCTTACTCACTTGTACCTGTTAGTTGCCAAGACTTGCGAAAGGAATAACGGGAAGCACAGTCATCTGCAGTTTAAAGCCGCCACTGTTTTTAAAGTATATGGAAGGCTAATAATAGTAATATTATCCCTTGGTTTATCTCTATTAATTGAATCTTTTGTGTTACTAAATAGTGCCAGTTACGTAATGCACTCTTTACTAGAATTCACCTGGAAGACTGATAGAAAAGGCGAGCTATGCGAGCGCCTGTCAGAATGTGAGTTGCCCATCTTTAATTCGGCGTAAATTCGTGTTCTTACCTTCAACTGGAGATGGAATTTTTTATCAAGTAATGATGTGATTTTGGCTGTCCCTTTCAGGTTTTTGTAATTTTGGAGAGGACCAGGGGGACACTACTGATGTCGACGAAACTACTATACTTTTGGGGTCAAACCGAGCTCTTTTTTTCTTGAAGGATCTTTGTATATAAATAAATGGCAATTCCTGTGTTTGAAGCTTTTTATTGATAGCTTACAGATGCATTGTGCTTCCAAAGATGAAACTGAAACTATTAAATTATTTGTTTTTTGGGGTCTAGTTCTCTCAGTCATGTTAAATTCTACTCCTAGGGATATCAATACCCATATACATAATATATATATATATATATAGAATGTATCGCTTGGCTCCTAGAGTTATATAGAAACTGTTGAATTATTCTTGTAAGAAATTCTAGTAACTATTCTGGCTGATGTAGAGCATACACTCGTGAGGTTTGTTTGTCTACATGAATTGTGTAGTATGCAAATTAATCGAGTGTTTGATGAACAATTTTGGAAGTTAAAGATGTTAATAAAGTTGAAGTTAAAAGTGGAAAGCTTTTGGGCATTATATGTCTATTTTCATTAAGTAGCACTCTTAAATGTGAAACATTTTGGGAGAATAGTGAATTCTTGAGTTTTCTATATTGTTGCATCTTTTCTTCTTTCTTTCTTTTTTTTTTTATTTGATGTGAACAATGGTCAAATAATTATTCTGTTTTATTACAACTATTTACCAAAACAAAAGAAAGAAAAAGAAACATCTTATTTCAGCTTGGTGATCGGCTTTTAGTACTAGAGCAATTATAAAAGAAATAAGTCTTAAAAAGAAACGACCAAAGATTTTTTTTTTTTTTTTTTTTTTTTTCATAGCAAATATGTATACATGTTTCAATATGTTGTTTTTTTTTTTAATGTGTTAATTTTCGGAAAATTTTGGAAAAATATTCCTTTAATGAGAGAAAAAAAAATTAAGGTTTATGCCTTTTTGTCATATACTTACAAGATTAATTTCGCCTTTACTTTCTCCGACTTAAGGGACACTTTTTCTTATTTTTCTTCATGTTTACCAAATAGCATTCCATTAGAGTATTGTTGCGTTATGACTTCCACTAGAATCAGAGAGTGTTATTAGTTGACCCTAAAATAAAAACAGCAAAACACATCTGCCTGCATATTAACTCGATCCATGTTTCCAGAAGTGTCTTTATCTTTCTTCTTTTACATTTAATATAAGAGAAAATTATAATCCTTTCGATAATCTCACAAGTTTTGTCAAACATGAAAAAAAAAAAAAAAAATGTAAACCAAAACAAGCACATGCAACGGGCACTTATTTCAGAAAATGCAAGAGAGAAAAAAAAAAAAAAACGCATTTGGTTTTAAGTAATCTTGGTCGTCAACTAGAGTCGTCCCCACTGATTACCCACTACTACCTCTTAGAGGTTTATGGTTTGATAATTTGGATACAATATTTTTAAAACCTTAATTGTTTGACCTACATTAATTATCCTTGAAGGTTGCAATCTTTTAAGTCACTTTTTAAATGGTCTTTCTAACGATTAAAGTATGAAGTTTAAGTTGTAGAACAAATTGCCTTGAATATATATACATATACATATATACATATATATATATATATATATATATATAGATATATAGATATATAGACACACACACACACACACATACATATATCACCAACTCTCTTATATTCTCTCTTGGTGATATAGAAAAAATCAAGGAGGTCAAATTCTCTGACACCATCAACTTCCACAAAATTAGTTTTATGCCATGCACCTAACACACGCAAAGACTTCTAGTTATCCAAGTCAAAGCTCCATTTGACTTCTTGCTCTTGCACATAACCAACATCTCTCAGAGACTACGTCCATAATTGGTTTGATTCAATGTTTCAAAAACCAATGGAAAGTTCATATGTTTTTTACTTGCTTCTCCTCTTCTAAGCAAGAGTCTAAGAAAGAATACAAAATCAGTACGACAAGCAGTGGTTAAACTTTGAAATATAAACCCTAACAGTTTTAAACCTGCCCAAAAATAGTACCCTAGTGCACTTAGAATCTAGCTAGAAAAAAGAACCACTTCCCTAATTCTCTTGCCTAATAATCACGTGATGAATTTTTGAACCGCGCTATTGAAAAATACAAAGAAAACCCTGGTAGAACATAATTTTTAACCGTCAGATTTTCATCAAGTTTTGTTAAATTTTCATTTATATTTTTTAACCTATACTATGATATGATATTGTGATAGTTCAAAATCGTGTTTTAACACTTGTATAGTTCTTTTCGCTTCTACCATAAATTACAAATAAAACCTATAATTTTCATGCATATGGTCCCAAGTCCACATTTTTGGTTACTATTCAAAGAAATCTGAGATATGGAAGAATGATACATTCGGGGATTTAGTCCAGTGGTAGGATGCTCGCTTAGGGAGCGAAAGGTCCCGAGTTCAATTCTCGGAATCCCCATCGATTCTTTTTTTTTTTTCAACAAAATGAAAATGAAGAAACAAACAAAAGAAAAAACAAGGTAATTTCTGGTGCAGTTAAAGGGATCACGAGAAGATACCAGTGAGCCAGGTCAATATCTTGGATGCTCAGAAAGGCTACGGTTTTTGTTACCAAATAGCAACAAATAAAAAGCGGCCAGCGAAGGCTTGAAAAACTTGACAAAATGTGAGGACCCCAGTTTGAGCTCAGCAACTGCGTCGTTTTGTTGCGTCTTTACACATTATTTTACATAAAGTGCATGGCTAGAATAAGATAATATTATAACAGCTTCACTACTTTCTTTAATATTTTTCCTCATTACGTATTCGTTTTAAAGTCAAATTCAATTATAATACTGCCTTTACTAGTGTCTCGTCATGCATGAAACAATATTCACCATCTTATATATATATATATATATATATGAATGTGTATATATAAATGTCAACCCTAGTGACGATATATATATGTCTAGGCTTACTGTGAACTTCTTCGAAGTTTCTTCTGTTTAACTTGGACTTAATTGATTTGTGTTGGAAGACTTAAATATAGAAGGTGAGATCTGACATGGGCTGAGGATATATATATTTTTTTCATCCTTTATGTCTTTGGGTGTTTGTTTGGAAGATGGGAAAGTTGCTATCTTGTATTTCAACAGATGAAAGGTGTTGTTTTTAACACTTTAAACTATTTTAATCTTAACGTGAAGAAGAATTACTTCATTTTTATTACGTTACTCGGTTCCTTTATCATATGGGCTACCCCTATAGGACGCATGGTAAGGGCAACCACGCGAGATTAGCCATAACATAGATGTGACAATTAAAAGAGTTAAAATCTTGCTGTCTCAAAACCATGTTTCCTTGACCATGTTACTAAAAACGCGTGTATACGTCGCGGAAAAAAAAAAAAAAAATTTGGTGTGACATTCTCACCTACGAATTGTTTTAGTCAGTATAAGAATTTACCGATGAAATTTTTGTATTTCCTAACGACAAATTGTGTCGTTAAAGCCTATTTTCTAGCCGTGGTGGGTGCTACTTAATTAGTTGGGATGTTCTAACTCTCTTTTGACACTATTTATTCTCTCTCTTAATTCTAAAAAAGAAAAAAAAATCATGGAACAATGATTAGACATAAAAGAAAGAAGTAAAATTCGAAATAACAATGGTCGAATATAAATTATAAGCAAAAAATTAATTTTACCAAAAAACAAAATTAAATTAGACTAGAGGGCTAACCTTTTTTTAGCTAGTTGTCACTTCATTAAATGATATTTATCCATCTTAAACTGATCAGTGAATATCACTGATATATTCATGACAGAAGGGATGTCACTATAATATATTGTAATTAAGTTCGGTTAAGAAATTAAAGTATTGTTAGTGTAATTTTTTGTAATTATAATATAGTCAAACACGAGGGAACATGAGCTGAAAAGAAAGGGATGGAAGAAATTTAAGGGAGAACGTTGGTACAAAATCTGCGAAACTGAGGCCTTGTTCGGCAACCTTAAAAACTCAAAAAAAGACAATTTCAGTTCAAATTTTATTTAAGCTCATGTTCTTTTAAGTTTAAACTCGAGTTTGAGACTAAAACTCGAGTTCAAGTTTTCCCGATCAACTCGAGTTCAGAAACTCGAACTAAAATTAATGAACATTATTTTTTCTATTCTTAAAAATGCTATAATTTTTTCATTTTAATCCTGATTAAGATGATTTTTTTTTCTATGTATTGACAACGAAAAGACAAATAAAACTCCACCCATATACCCTATTAAAATCTTTCATCACCATTGAGTTTTTATTAAAATATTATCTAAATACAAATTCAAGTTTTGACTCACTCAAACACAAACTCAAAAAGATTCTTATCTCAAACCATAACTCAAATGTACACAACCAAACACAAACTCAAGTTACAACTTCAACTCAAGTTATAACTCAAATTCAACTAAAAAATTACACTCAAATCACACTTTAAAAGAACAGGCCCTGAATTGTTCGGGAAAATTTGTCGATTTGGTAAACATAGTGAGAAACGCAAATGATGCCCTTGACTTTTGCGGACTACAACTACTACAGAACCTTTTGAAAAAAAAAAAAAAATCACATAAAGATCTTCCGCTGAAAATTATGTTCATCAGTGTATACTATAATATGAAACTGATGAGATAATTGACAAAGAAATATCCAAAGTAAAAAGTATTTGACCAGAAAGAAGAAATTGCCCTGAAGAATGTATATATTGATATTATATCTTATATATGCAACTTTCAAAATGGGTTTTGAAATATCAATTACATTTCAAACTTTGAAAATTGATATTGAAGAGTTACCTTGATATTTCGAAACCCTTCAAAATTTCTCCTAGTTGCGTTATCTATCATTTTAACCTGTTCTTATTAATTTCACGCTCTGCCAAACCTTTTTTTTTTGGTTTTGTTTTTTTTGTTTTTTGTTTTTGTTTTTTGTTTTTTGTTTTTTTTTTTTGTGAATCATGCACTCCAAAGTTTAAACTCTATTTGTGTGCCGCGTCTTTTGATCTAGAGGTCATTATTAACAGTTTTGACATGATTTGAGACTCATAAAATGATTGGAGTTCAGTGACTCATATTTGAAAGCTTAAATTCTCTAATATAATTTCCCAAGCACTGAATTTGCCAACAAAAAAGTCAACATTAACTATCAGTTTATATTTGCATCTTTATTAGCTGCTTTGCATGACATACTATTATTGGAACAAAAAGAGAGCCACGTCAAATTCCCAAAAGGAAAAAATGAAAAATGAAAAAAGAAGAATGATTATATTAAACGGAAATTAAGGACCTAAAATACAAATCATTGTACTTAGCAAGGGATACATATCCATGCTTATCCTCTTATCAGGACCACCTTTACCAGCTCTGTATTACAATAGTCTTTGATGAGTTTGGTCTTCTTGATGATGAAATATATTGTTGCCTTTCCTCATTTCTTTTTAATATCATAATCTTTAATTTTTTTTCATTTCTTCAGTTTCAAAGCATAGATTCTAAGTTTAGAGAAAGACAAGAAGAAACGCGATTTCTTTGCCTTAAAGATCTGAGTCCATTTGGGGACTAAAATAATAGTATTTTTGGGAAGTGAGTGCTTTTTTGAAATTTGATAGTTTCCTCTTGGTTATTTCTACATGGTTGCTGTTCCGGGCCTCTTGATTATGATTTTAAATTAAGAAAATGTTAAAGCAGGAAAACCGAGGTCAATGAGTGGTGCTTCTTCTTAAAGCTTTGAATTATATATACTTTTCTGTTTGTATTTTATTCTTTAGAAATTTATTAAATAATTCCCTCCCTACTATTATTGTAATCCCCATAGCCAACTTGTCACAATTATAGGGCTTCTAATAAGAAAATTGTAATTGGAAATCAAAGATAAAGATACAGAACTACTAAAGTATGTTGTGATGATGATAGTAAATATTATTTTAATCAATTAATATGGACAATTTGACTTGACTTTATGTAATTATAAATATATTGATATACATACCTATGTTATTATATTCATACATTCATAATTAGAATTTATCTACCTTAATTAGTGGAAGTACAGTTTTAATCTATATTTTTCTTTTTATTTGACTTCGGCTGAGCTGTATATTTTGTTACCAAATGTTTGTCCCAATAATTAGCTAGGTTTTATATTTTATATTTATATTTTTTTTTTGCTAATGCAACAAATTAGCTAGTTGCTTTATGTCTATCTATGTTTGCGTGTGGATCATGACATTAGATATAAAAGCTTTTCTTCTCATGCACATAAAACATTTATTCCAATATGAGCATGAACATTTTCCCCTACGATTATATTGAGAAAATCCCAATGAGTAGATACTAAACGTAAGACAAAAAAAAAAAAAAAAAAAAAAAAAAAAAAAAAAAAAAGAAAAAAAAGAAAAGGACGAAATTATTTACAAATTTAATTTAAATTAACCTTGTGACAATCAATCGAGCTGGAAATATTGCCAGACCTTTTTTCCACATGGGAGTCTAAAATTTCGTTTTCAGTGACTCAAAACTGAATTTCAAGTCAATTTATTAGCACCAAATCAATATTTCATTGTGAAAACAACATATATGAAAACGGAATGCTAAGTCTGAAATTCTGAAATACACAACAATATTCTACTTATAAATTCTAATTTCATTTATATATATAATGCATGCCAGTTCTGTCTGTATACACAAAGTCAGAAACTGCTATATTAAAATTACCTATATACCCTGGCTGGCTCTTCGATAGGCTCATTTCTCTTCCGGTACAAATGCTTAATTGTACTATGTACATACGTACCATGCCACCGGTAAATCTAAGTTATATGCAGATTATTCAGATTTAAACTATATATTAACTCATATATGTGTGTGCATATATATATATATATATATTTCACACACTAATTAATTTTGTACAAGAACCAAGGAAACGTGAAATGTTGCCTGTTTTGTGCAAGTATAAATGGTCCAAAAGAAAGATATATTGTGGCGAAGTTTTTCTCCCTTTTTAGTTTACCGGCATATTATTATATATACTGCAGAAGAGGCATGGTTTATTATGCATAGTACAGTGAAATATCAATTTTACCTCTTGAATTTGAATTGTCAAGTTTGCATTTTTTTTCACAAATATCAGCTGCCACAACAATAGATCCAAAAACACTAGACCCAAAAAGATTGACTACAAGGTAAGACATATTTACTAATTTATATCAATTATCAATAAAAATTAATATTTATTATTTTGAATACATATCTTAACAACCGTTTATCATTTCAGTTCTGAACCAAAGACAACAGACCCACTCAGAGAACGTCTAAAGACCAAGTAATATAACTACTTCTAAATCTTTTTGATTTACACTACATATAATTAAAGATTTTCAACTTCCTTAAAAATTATTATTAATTTTTTTTAAAATTTGTATTTTACATTAAAGAAGAATAAAAGAAAAAAGAAGAATAAAAGAAAAAAGAAAAATAAAAACAATAATACATTGTAAAAAAACTTTTAACTAGAATATTATATAGATATATCTATATATATATATATAAATTAATCGTATATTATAAAAATTTCTAACTTTCCGCTCTTGGCTAGTTATATTACTAGAGTATATAATAGCATTAACTACTACAAGAAACATGCGATCTACGCCTATAAATGTTTTACAGCAGATATTAAAATTATTATTACGATTACTTTACATCAAAATTCATTACTAGAAGCAACCAATAAAAACTATGGATAATAAGTACATTCGTCTAGTCATATATTTCGGCTCAATGAATGTACTGTCTTAATCCCTATACGTACAACTTTTATTGCACTTGTGGGAAGCTTTATTCGGAGAATGAAGAAAGATGAAAAATGCGTTGATTAATTGAGAACGGAAGTGATGATTTAAATCGTTAATTTACTCTACAATTTCTTTTGACTCAAATCGTCTATTCAATTTTTTTTACCTTGAATAATTTTTAACCAAACACATTATACCATGCCATTTAAATTTAAAATGTTTTTTTCCATGCTTTTTACATTTGAGTTCAAATTGATTAGATATCATTTTGGGATACCAAAAATTAGACTAGTAATCTCTCGATATGTATTTTTCTACAATAACTCAAATACATTACAAATTATTAAAGCTAAATAGTAATTAGGGTAGCTAGGGTGGCTTGAAAATGGAATACATTTCAAGGATAACACTGACAAACTAAGAGGATGGATTGTTCTTCAGGTCAAAATCCTCCGTTTTAAAATATAATAAATGAGTACTTATATTAATGAACATGAAATTAGTAAAAGTAGTGCAATTTAACATGTAAAGGAGAAGAAAATTCGTGTTGTACTTTGTCTAATTGCATGCATTTTTAAATGTGGATGATTGAACTAATCCAAAAAGGAAGAGAGAGAGAGAGAGAGAGAGAGAGAGAGAGAGAGAGAGAGAGAGAGAGGGAGGGAGAGGGGAGAGGAGGGGGAGAGAGAGAGAGAGAGAGAGAGAGAGAGTGAGTTTTGACACAAACCCTAGAGATGAGAAATGGGGTTGATGAGGTGTAAGACTTTTTGTTCTTTTGTTCTCATAATAAGCATCAGATCACCCACTCTTCCTACCTATAAATGTTGGGTCTTCCTTCCCCATTTTTCCCCAACAGTCTCAAAAACAGCTACAAGCCTTCTTCTTCTGGTATTTACTTGCTTTTGAAAAAATCAACAGGAGATTCAAAAAAGGAAAAAAAAAAAAATCGAGAACAAAGGATCGACGTCGGAGACAGTTAAAGATGGGTCGAGCTCCATGCTGTGACAAGGCCAACGTGAAGAAGGGACCATGGTCACCTGAAGAGGACGCCAAGCTCAAGGCTTATATCGATAAGTATGGCACCGGTGGAAATTGGATTGCCCTACCTCAGAAAATTGGTATGATAAAAAAAAAATGCATATTTTGTTCACATGATCATATTTTCTATGCCAATTTTCTAGTTTGATATATAAGAAATTTGTTTAATTTTTAAGCATGATTGATCTAATTATAAACTCTTGGTAGAAATTGCTTAATTTTAAAGCATGATTGATCTAAACTCTTGGTGGGGTTTATAAATTTTCACCACAGGGCTTAAGCGATGTGGAAAGAGTTGTAGATTAAGGTGGCTGAATTATCTGAGACCAAACATTAAGCACGGTGGATTCTCTGAGGAAGAAGACAACATCATCTGCAGCCTCTACATAAGTATTGGTAGCAGGTATTTCTCTCTCTCTCTCTCTCTCTCTCTCTCTCTCTCTATATATATATATATATATAGACACACACACACACACACACACACACATGGATATATTCTTGGGAAACAAGTTTCAACCTCAATCTTTTGTCTCTTGTCCCTTGTCTAGATTCTCTAGCCTAGAAATTAGTTAACTCTTGCTTACAGGATTTAGATCAATTCTTAACTACGGTTTTCTCAAACCTATATTATATCCATTCATTAATTTTTGTTAATTAGTTATTCTTTTATTAGAGACTGATCATGATGTCGTACATATATATGCATCAATTTTTAGGTGGTCCATAATTGCAGCCCAGTTGCCAGGAAGAACAGATAACGACATAAAGAACTATTGGAACACCCGGTTGAAGAAGAAACTACTAGGAAGGCGCAAACAATCGAACGGTAGCGCTCGGTTATCCTCGGTAAATCCCGACTTGAAGGATTATTCAACCGGCGTAGAGGATACCCTAAGCAGCTCAGCCCTAGAAAGGCTTCAGCTCCATATGCAGCTCCAAAGCCTTCAAAACCCTCTTTCCTTCTACAACAACCCCGCGCTTTGGCCAAAGCTTCATCCCTTCCAACAAAAGATGATCCAGAGCTTCCAATCGCTTAATGGGGTTAAACCTAACCCTCTGATGCAGCACAATCTCACAACCCCCCATGATGATCATGATCATGATCAAAGGAAAAATAATGCTGATTTCTATACTGAATTAGCCCCCAATGAAAACAATAGTACAATAGGTAATGAGGAAGATCAATTTGCGAAAATCGGCGACAACCCTAAGATGGACGGATTGGAAAATTCTGCAAACAATTTCATGAATATGGGCAATATTATTCCAATGGACTCATCAAGCACCATCGTGTCGAATGCTGATCACTCGGCTTTCCAAGCGGAGCTTGAGAATATTCTCAATGGGGAAGCAGTCAATTTCAATACACCGCAGGGAGGTGATCATGATCAAATGGCTGATATTCAGTACGATTGTTTTAAGGAAATGCCTAATGTCAACAAGGACAGCTTGATCTGGTGGTCCAACGAATTCGACGCGAAATCAGCTTCGTCGAACTCATGGGATGATTCAACTTCGGCGGCTCTCGATCAGTCTCACGGGATTTTCCATGATTATGATCAACTAGGTTATAACGGCCTGTGAAGAGCAGATTAGAAGTAATCTGATGGAGCGTGGAGTAAGTACTACATGGTTATTTGTTATGTTCATAAAATGGCAATGGGCGGGGAATGTGATATAAAATATAGAAAGGTTTTGTAAATTGTTTGTATAATAATGTGAATGTTCTTCCTTAAGAATCTCCCCGAATCTACATTTTGTCTCCAAATGGTCAAAACTATTTATGTGCATTTCTCTTTCTGAATCTTCTTACATACTTTTGTTGAGTAGAGATCCGAAAAAGGTTCTAAATGCAAAGAATTCATCCAACAACCTGTTATGAATTGTTAATTTAAGTATATAATTAGAATATATTCCTTAACCTCCAGTTAAAAAAAAAGAATATATTCCTTAACCTTTAACAATAGCAAGGTTATATACACAAGAGACAATACCATATCCTAATCCCCATATTCTAATTAGGAATTGTTGAAGTCATTTTAAAAATTATTTCTTTCTTGGGGCTTGGCTGCTCTTTTGAAGCTTAATTGAGAGTTAATTAAGTTGTATACCACTTTTAATATGAGCTTATTGGGTTTCCATAACGTTTTCTTTTTTAATTTCTTTGATTCACGCCACTTTAAATTTGTGTAATTTGTATAACTATCCTTAATTTCTTATTTTAAAAGTTGGTTATCGTCTTAAGGGCGTTTGGTATGCAGTATTCAGTAGGAATCATATTTTCAGAAAAGTGATAGAGGGTAATGTAATTCTCAAGAAATAAGTATTATAATGTTTGGTTAGATATAGGAATCTTTTAATAAATTTCCGGGAATGTCATTTTACTGTGTTTGATTATGCCAGTAATGTAATATAATTATTTTTATAAAATTTATAATTTTAAATATTTTGAAGATTGTTATCATCTTTTGATAACTTAGATTTTTTTTTTCCAAATATTATGAAAAGCAGTAAGAAATAACATAAAACTATAGAAATTACAAAAAAAGAGAGAGAAATGAAAAAAGAGGGAAAAAATTAAAACAAAAACAAATAACAATTTAGTTCCCTTCGTCTTTCCCCTCTGAATCTCTCTCATCCCTCTCAATCTCTCTTTCAAGCTCAAAACAGATTTGATCTGAGCACGGATCTTGGCTTTCACAAAGCGTGGGATGTGCGACAATCATGAAGATGAGCTTCAATGGCGATGGTAGCCATGGGTGGATGTTCGGCAGCCAAGGTGAGGAGTGAAAAAGCTTGATGGGGACGGCAGAGTAGCTTGCTTGCTCTCTTGAAGCTGAATTGATGGCCATTGTTAACGCAGTGAATGTAGCTAATCACAAATTCAAGTGGGATTTTTGAGTGATTTTACTTGTGGTATTCTAGTTATTCTAAAGCTAAGAAAAACAAAAAACAAAAACAAAAAAAAAAAAAAAAAATTATTCCATCTATCAGAAGCTGAAAGCTAAGTGGAGAAATACTCTTAGACCATTTCCAATACAAATGTTAATATTAATTGTATATTTAACATTAAAAATTATGATATGATAATATTCTTAATTCTCTTATCTCTTGAACCTATTGGTTCTAGATTCAAAAATGACCCCTCCCCGCATTCTTTCAGATTATGAGACACGTTAAAATTCAATATAAGTTATAAGTTCTTAAAATGCAAATAACGAAAAAAATTCTAAAGATTAGCGGGAGGGGTTAAACTTATTGTATTTGTATCTTTGTTTTGTAAAATTTTGCAAATCAAATAAAAAGGAAATATGTAAATATTATGTAAATATAAATAAATATGTATTATACATTATAATAATGCATAATGCTATTTGAAAGGCTAAATATATTTTTTTTCTATAATTATTAAGCTTTGGAAGTTGTAAAAGTAAACATTTATTTTTAAAATAATTACAAAATGCAAAAATTGCATTTATTACATGGAAAAAGTAAACATTTCAATTAGTAATCAAATGCTAAATTTTCCATATGCTATATTTGGTGAGAAATTTGCCACAAAACATGGCATATGAAAATTTTGGCACAACAAATAGTATTGTATTGGAGAGTATTTTTCATACTCAAATATTAAATTTGCAATTGGCACATTAATTATTGCATTGCATTAGAGATGCTCTTAATTGCTTCTAAGATTTCATTTTTTTTGGATAACGATCTAATTCATGAATCTACAAATTAGACAACTTTTTAATTAATAAAAAAATAGAAGATCTAACTCTTGTAAATCAGAAATAAAAATGAAATAAAGATAGAAATGTGGTTAGAAAATTTACATACGTTCACGGATCAGGAATATGCTCACTTTTTCATTCATTGATATTTCTATAAATAATTGTACATGAGTTATATAGGGATGAATTCTAAGAATATAATATGTGAATCAATCAATCGGCATAAATTAGACTCCCAATTAGGTAACTAATCAATCCCCTATAATTCTCCCAAAAATATGTTCACAACTATATTACAACCAATCACTCTAAAAATGAAAAGAGCATTAAGAACTAAGTACACAATCAACTGAATGTTACACACTAATTAATAGAACAAACGCAACCATAAATCAAATACAAAAAAAAATTCAAAAGACAAAAAAGATTTATAAGCCCAAATATAAATATTAGTTCTAACAAAATGAGTTATAATAGTAAAAGATTGGAATTTAACAACAAAGAGAAGGAAATTACGGTCAAGGCCAACAATATCACAACTAGATTTGCACACAAGCATCTCCTCTACTAAGCTCCCTACTCCAAATTTATTAGAAATGAAAATAAGTGGACGCATTTATTGAGTATCTCATATTTATAGAGAAAGTAATAGAGTGCTAAACTATTTGATGGCTCATGGTATTCACTTATCACGCTTGACGGTCTTTAGAGCCAGATTTTGTTAGAGATTTAGGCCTCGTTCGCTTCGCAGATTCGAGTTTTCAATTTGAGTTGAGATGTGACATTTTTTTAGAGCTTTTAACTGTAGAAACTTATAACTAAAAACTTGAATCGGTGCAATGAACGAGACCTTAATTTCTAAGGATCTTGCTCAGCTTCCGAATTATAGATTAATGATCAAGTCATGATGTTGCTAGGTGTCGATGTACGATTTTTCAAAGAGTTTCTTTCACATGTAATGCGTTCGCATTTAATTATTTGAGAGCAATCTTCAGAACTTGCTATCCTTGTCGCCTCAAATTGGTATTGTGCAACGAAATGACAAGCATATATAGGCAGTATTTTTTTTCCCTTTCTAATCTTGTGATTAATCTATAAGATCTATAAGAAGGGAGAATATGTTGAGTTGAGTTTTGTACTTCAGCCTTTCATCTAATGGTTCACATTAATCAATTCTTATTTTACTTTAAATGCAATGGTCATGATTTCTCCATACTTATGTATTATCTCACACCTCATGCTTAACCTCTGTTTGTTTATTTTATTTCTATTTTTAACCCTCTTTGTTTAGTTTTTGAATTTTATTACTATTATTTGACTTGGTGTATTAATATCATGAATATATTAGTAATATATTAGGTTAACAAATTTTATCTTTTATATCACTATTAATATACATATATTAATATATTAGCATATTAAGTAGAGTTTATTGAAAATACACAACATAATTTTATCTTATACTATTAAGTAGAGTATATTACATATTAGTATATCACTATTAGTATATATATTGTCAAATATGGTTCTAATAATTTTTTTTGACAAATTCCCCCACTAAAATACTTTTTTTTTTTGGGGTCAAATTTGTCCATTTTTTTGTGTTTTGATATTTATTACTTCAACTTCACATTCGCTTCCTTTTTCTTTAAGAAACAATTGTAATTTCTTAATTTTCCTCATTCATATTTTCTTTTCTCTATTTTTTTTCATTAAAATTCTTAATAGAAAAGATTCTCTTGCATGTTTTTTCAAAAAAAAAAAAAAAAGAAGATAAAGTATAAAGTACCGTAGGAACAATATCATACTAGTTTACTATGAAGAATTTAAATGGTCTATCGCATGAGTACTGATTTGCAAAAGATAGCTTTCTTTATGGCGTTAGTACTGGCTTGTATGATTATGCATCAATACCTTTTGAATTTGTTATGTCATTGTGGATTCATGTTTATTCGGTTTTCTCGCTGGTTAACTGTTGCTGTTGTTGTTGTTGTGTATTTTTTTTTCTGCTGTATTTGTGCAAAGATTTGTATTTTTTTCTCTTTTATAATGTTTAATGAATTAGAGTGGCTGTGAGCGCTCTTGGTTGTGATAAGAGGACTGATAGAGTGGCTGTGGGCGCTCTTAGTCAAGTTAATAGAAAGCACATTGAGAAAAATATTTAGAGGCACCGCTGTTAAGCACTAGAAGGTAGATTTCAATTGTAAGTCCTATACTGTGAGACTCACCTTCTATTAATGGTTGTGCTAAACACCATCGAAGTTCATTAACATTGCTCATATTAAGGGCTTGTTTAGTTCAACAACTCAAACTATGAACATTTGAACATTTTTAGTCAGAACTGTAGTGATTCAAACTGTGATCCAAACTGTTGCTTGGATATGTAAATAAATTATAATTTGAATTGGGGATAAAATACGAATTGTATTTGGATAAAGTGTTGAAAACTGTCACTAGAGTTTTGTAACAAATCTTATAAAACCTCATTATAAATGACATTAAAAATATGCAATATGGGTGGGGATTTGTTCATCTCTTTATTATGAACACATTAAAAAAATCATCTCAATAGAATTAAAACGAAGAAGTTATGACATTTTTAAGATTGAAATTGAAGAGAGAGAAAAAGTAGAATTTGAAACTATTAGACTGTTGACGACAATTTAGATTATTAGAATTCAGGGAGAATGTGAATTCTAAAATCAACAATTTGAGTTGTTCTTGAACCATTGTTAATGGTTTGAATTGTCCTTGAATTTTCCTCTCCTAAACGCTAGTTTGAATTATGAACTACGGTTTGAATTCTAAACAATTTGAGTTGTTGAAACAAACAAGGCTTAAATACCTTCAAGAAATATCAGAGTTTACCCTTAAGAGTACATGAGTCTAGATTTGCACATCTTATTCTTGATAAATATCATTTTAT